AACTCTGATGATTTCAGCATCTTATGCTGATAACATGCGATTAACACATGGCTATAGATACTAACACTCAGATCTCATTCTTGTCAGTAGACAAAAAGTTCTTGCATCACCAAAACACAATGCTTGCTGTCACTCTGACTGAAGTAAGCTACCATAAGTGAATTTTCAATTGGACAAATTCATCCCTGGAGACAGCAAAATTCCAACTAGGGCACATCTGCCTTCCTCTTCAGCAACTCAGCTCTCAGCTTGGTGCTTCAAGCAAGCAAGAAAGGCACGAAATGTGAGAGCGAGCATTTCTCTGCAATTGTCACGGCAAAAACAGAGATGTCTCCACTCATTCAACCCAAAATAACCCCACAGCACTGCAAAGCTCAGAGCCAGCAGGGATCACTCACAGCCCCATCCCCTTTGTGGGACTGGTTAGTCCCATTCGAGCAGTTGTGGGCAGAGAACACAGAGTTTGCCTCTTACACCAATAACTCAGGAGCATTCACTCTCACCATTCAGTCCCCTTCCTGGGACTTCTTTGAGATCCGTGCTCCTGTTAGTGCCGTCTCTGAGTCACCAGGTCTCCATACCAGCAAATCATGGAATGACAGAAAGGTCTGGGTTGGAAGGGACAACAAGTAACACCAGGTTCCAACTCCTCTGCCTCAGACAGGGTTGGCAACCAGTAAATCAGGCCCCAACTCAGACTGCCCAGGGCCCCATCCATCCTGGCCTTGAACACCTCCAGGGATGGGGCACCCACAGCTTCTCTGGGCAGCCTGTGAAAGGCAACACATGGGATGTGAGTCCATGAAGTGAAACACTGAGATCACTTTGGCAAACTTGAAGGAAATCTCTGGCACATTAAAACCAACACAGCATTCTTCCAATGTGCCAAGCAACCCAGCAGTGCTCCCTTGCAACATCAATATCAATTTCCTCCATCAACAGGAGACAGAATAATAGCAACTTCCTCTCTATAATGCAGCCTTTGATTGTCTCAGATCTAATGCTGGCTTCCAGAAGCCATTCATTCTGCTCTGTAGGTAACCATGCTCTAGACAAGATGCAACAACTTCAGCAGCACATGTTAAATGCTGCAGGAAGCCCAGAAGGTGCATAAGGAGACTGCTAATAACATTAATCTACCACAGCATTACCCTGGCTCTTGCCAAGCACGCAAGCCAGTGCTGAAAGCAACATGAGTGCTCCAGTGACCAGAAAACACTTGTAAGCTCTTACTCATCCAAGAGGCAGCAAATCCATACAACCAGTCAGATCAGATTTTTTTCTCCCCCGTATCAGCTCTGTAACATTTCTGATCCCCCTCTTAATGACAAAGTCTTCATTGATTTCAACAGAACTCAGCAAGATCCAGCAGAAAAGGAACTAAGAAAAGTGGGAAATGTCAAGTGAGTCATTAGTGGGTAGAAAAAGGAACTGTGTAGTGAGTAGTTCTCAACATACTTCTCCCCCTCTTCCCCCCCTTTAAAACAAACGATGCTACAAATTGATGGAATCCTTTGACATTAGTGAAGTTGCAGTAATGATGAGCCCTGCACAGCCTGCAGGAGCGAGGTGCTCCTCCCAGAGTGGTTACTTATGCCAAATGCCAATAAATACACAGGGATAATCACCCTGTTTTGATCTTTAAAAACGAGTTGAGACCTTAAATACAACAGACAGGAGAAAGGGAAGCAAACCAGCACCAAAGCAGACTTTCCCTTCTTCATAAAGCCACAAAAACTCCTATATTTTCTTATCTCTTGGCTGCTATTGCCAGCTTTACAAACTTTTGTGTCAAACATGTGTCACTCGGTGACATGGAAGGGAATATATCTCCCAGGGGTAGCAGGAACAGACACCACTATGGCACTAACGTTGTTTCCTCTGAACATCCTTTGGTGTGTGCCCTCATCTACCACAACACAGCCCTTCTTGGGTTGGTTACTACAGCAACAGGATCTGTTTGAGTTTGGTATCAACACATTGCAGGCCTCAAAAAAAAACTAAATATGTAACGTACCCACAGTTAGCTCAAGAAACATGAAGCTACATGTCAGCAGCCCATGCCACAGAGATATCTCTCCGTAATCTTTCATCCTGTCTCTCCAATTACAAAACTCCACGAATCCCCACCTCCTTGGCTGAGCACAAGCCTGAGCAACCTCTGCCTCCCGAGGAAGCACAGCAGAGGTGCACTGCTCATCTCCTGCAGGGAAAACACAGCATGCAGAACTTGAGACTTCAGGGCCATAAACGTATTCTGTTCTATGGCTTTCATTACAAGTGAAAGTAAAGCTCCAATTTAAAGCCCATTCAGTATCGCAACTGCATACATGCATTTATCCTAATACAAAAGAAAAAGATGTTGGTTGGTGAACAGAGCAGTCTTCCTGCACTGTCACACACCTTTACATGAGGTTACTTGAAGTTATTCCACTGAACTCCAGTACAACTCAGAGGGAAGGAAAAAACTCTCAGTGCAAGGGGTTATTTGTGTCTAATTCACTGCCTGGGGACAAAAGAGAGATTTTATTGTAGGTGAGCAATAACTAGTACTTAGCTGTCAGGTAAGAGACTGCTTCCTCCCCCTGGCTACAGTACAGCCTATATGTACTTGACAACACACTGAAGACAACATGGACTGGTCAATCAGATCATTTCTTACCAGCAGCCAACCAGGATGGAAAGCTTGGCCAGACTATTACCACTGTCATTAATTAGTTTCTATCCTAAGGGAACAACCTATGCCAGATTTGCTCTTAATTTAAACTGAGGGAACTTACCCAAAAAACATTTTATCCGGTCACACACAGAGCAGCCCCCACTGAGTGAGCTTGCTATTATGAGAAATCAAACTGATATAAATATAACAGTAACAGCATACACTCTGCAGTTATTTCCTCTGTGAAACAAAGGAGAATGAAGTGGGTAAGCTGCTCAGCCAGCTTTCTGCTAAGGCCACTGAAAATTACATTGACGACACCAACAAAAAATAATCAGTGTAACACAAGCCCGAGCAAATAATTCTCTAATAACACCTTAAATAAGAACTCTGACCACTTCTCAAGTATTCTCAAATCTAAAATGACACACATTTCCAACAGCTTCCTCTCCATTCATATTCACTCACAGAGCAATATTTCTCCTGTTCATTTTTTCCTGTTAGCTTGTATTTTTAATAACCCAACTGAATGCAGTTCGATGTCAGAATTAATCATCCCCTATTCCAAAACCTACTTGTGATGGATAGGTTGGGAGAGGACAGACACTGAACTTCACTGCCGGCATGGCTGATCAGTTGGGTGTACACATGCTCTCTTCTGCACCCCACAGTTCACATGTACACACTCAGATGGGATTCCCATAAGCCAGTAATTTCAATTTTTATTTTTATTTTTTTTGCAGTCTACCTGTAGAAAGGAACCCTACACAGTTAAATGCATATTTCTGAAGGAAGCACATAGTAAGCAGAAATCATTTTCTTCTGGCAGCGTTTTCCCAGCCACAGCTGATCTGCCAACTTTATTTAAATAAAGTTATTTCAGCATGCAAGATGAATGTATCTAAGGACCAAGAAGAATCACTCTTCCTAATCTTCCTCTTACGCACCCTCCTTAATCCTGTTCTCAGACATGAAGCATTGCTTAAAAACGCCCATGGAACAGACTGAATGTTGCTGCTTCTTCATATCTTTTTTTTTTAACAGATAATCTTAGAATCACTGCAAATTCCAGCTCATCATTTACAATGCTGGCAAAGCTGACCCAGTGACTTTAGTCTCATCATTCACCTTTGGGCTGTACAGTATCATGTATTTTACATATCACCCTGCTCCGTCCAGTGGATCCCTCACAAGCTCTTATACAACAAAGGCAAGGTTAATAGCAACAAAGGGACAGAAATATCAGGATTTTACAGCCAGTGACAGGAAAATATGGACACACTTCGAATATGTAGAAGAACCTCTAAGTCACGTAGGAACACATCCAGGAATGCCATGCTGTGTAGCTGTGCTATCCCAGGACACCTAAAGCCCTTCAGGTCAGTGGGACTGCCCAGCTTTGGCCACAGCTGTGTTGAGTTATGGCTGGGAGCTTGGTAAATGTCATAGCAAGGAGAGCACTGATGGCAATGTGCATTCAGTTGATGGCTGAAAGCCTGTAGAAGGATGAAAGCACAAGTGCACGGAGCTTTAGATCCTAGAAATAATACTAACAACTACAGAAGAAATGCATTTACAGCAGCACATACTTCAACTTTATTGTGATTTATTGCATTGGAGCCATTTACCCAGTGACAAGCACTGCAGACGGGAAGGTGAGCCAAGCTAGTGAAGCTTTTGGTTTTGTTTTTTCCCCTCCACGTAAACAACTTCACCAACAGCACCCACTTTAAATCTGCTGCAGTGGGTTCTACTGCTGAAACCAGTGAGCACTTTATGACAACCAGAGATGCTTCACCAGGTAACTCAAATTTCATATCTCAGGCATCTGGAATACGTTTGCAATGTGATCATCACAATAATGAGCTCAACTCTTAGTTCAGCATATGTCAAAGCAGACAACACCAGCTTCTTCATCCTGTTTTGTTAATTACATGGGTCACATTATTTGGCACCCCGCTGGAGTATATCGGGTCACAGCACCTACTTTGTAACAGCCCCTGCTAAAATGTGATGGTGGAAATGACCAAGACATGCACCTCCTTTTCAGTCAACCTTAAACAACCAGTATCAGAATTTAAAGCAATCTGGGCAAACAGCAGCTTCCTAACTACTCACTCTCCATTACCATGGCTGTCCATCTTTACCATAGCTACAACAAAAGAAAATATCAACGTACTTCCCTGCTGCTTACTATCACTCGAACACAGACCAACGCCACCTTACCTTCACCAGCACAGCACCACAGAGAGAAGACACCTGAAGGCAGCCCTTCCACAGGAAACAAATCGGACAAAACCAACGTGGAAAAACTTCCAGTGAGAAGTTAACAGAGCCTTACCTATGTACAGAGAGGAATCTTTCCGCCTCACGTGGTCGTCAATGTAGGAAACTCCCAGGGGCTGGACAGGGGTAGCACCAATGCCCAGGAGGACCTGTGCTCCAATGAGCAGCAAGTACATCATGTTGGTGGCAGTCCGATTCCTGCAGATAAGGTCCGGGTCTGGTCCCTCATCACTGGTGGACCCATTAGCAGCACACACATCCCTCCCTTCAGCTCCCCAGCGTATTTCCCCTGATTCGTATTCGTACTGGTGGGTCAGAAATTCAGGCAACGCGGAAAGGAGGGCACCCAAGGCCATGACAATCCCTCCACATCCTATCAAGCGCGGTCTGTGTCCTCGGGCTCCGAAGTAGCTCACAAAAAGGATGAGGGCCAGGTTGCCGATTTCAAAGCTGCTGGCAATGACACCCACGTCTGCACTCTGGAGGTTGAATCGCCGCTCCAAGGTGGTTAAAACACTCACCTGCAACAGAGAAATCCAGAGACAGTTACTGAAAGGGAATGCAAACTGCTTTCTGTCCTCCCTGTATGCCTTGTGAATCCTTGCACAAACTTGGCTCGCATGCTAGCACAAGTTTAGGAAGTCAGTCAGAGACAGCGATGCACAAATAGGCAATTTGGCTGGCATAGAAGGCTTCCATTAAAGCATTTAAATAAAACGGTGATCAAATGGCTTAAACTGTTCGTGGATTAGTTAATGACTGAGATCTTCAATTACAGAATGGCTTTGAGAAGACAAGCAAATTAAGATTTACATAGAAGATTTAAACCTACTATAAAGAAGGAAAAATGTAACGTGGTGGCTATTTAACTTGAAAAAGAGGCACAGGAACAGTCGTCAATCTCAAGACTGATGCAAAAAGGAATGACCTGTTCTTTGTATTCAAAAGGGGCAGGATAAGAAGCGACAAGCTGAAACAACAGCAAAGCTGACTCAGATTAAACACAAGGTTGGAAGGGGGGGAAGGGGGAAGTGGCCTTCTAATGGCAAGGGATGTCAGGTATGCAAATATACTGCCTGGAGAGGCCACAGGGCTACTGGAAAAGAACACAGAGCAGCATCCCTCAGGAACACTACAGGTATGACTGATCTTGCCACAGGGCAGGAAGATGGATCTGGTGATCTCAAGGCATCTACCAGTCTTGATTACATGGGGCAATGAAACGCACCGTGAGTTTTACACAGTGGTCAAAGCCCTGAGCAATGGGGAAGGGAAGAGGAAACACTGGGCACCTCACTTACTGCCACCCCTGTTCAACAGAGAAAACTCAGTGCATTCTTATGTCTGAAGCAGTGTCTGATCTACATAAGAAAATAAAGAAATATAATCTTGAACGTGTCACAGAAACACCAAAAGCTTTACCCTTAGATAAAAGACTACCTTGTTTTTCAGAATGCAAAAGATGACGACACTTAAGGTTGTCCTAAAACAGGCAAGTTTTGCTGTTAAAAAGAGCCACACCATGCTGTAAAGACCTCACAGCAGAAGGTGGCCTCTGGATAGAGTAAAAATAGCCTCCCGCTGGAGGCACTGAAAATCTTTGCTGATAAACCTCACAAAGAAGGAGCCAGTCTGACCGACTTTAAAGTATTCTGACAGCAGCTCTTCTCCAGGGGCAGCTGGCCTCTGCTAGGGTAGAGCAGGGCACAGCCTGGACAAAGACAGCCCCAGCAGCAGCGTGAGGGAAAGACAGCAGGAGCAGCTCCTCCGCTCTGCATAAGCCCTGAGACTTCAGCCCAGAGAGGTCAGGCCTACAAGAATCATTAATTTGGGATTTTTGAGTATTCAGCCTTTGTCCTGTACAAGCAGTTGTTATTTTATGTCAGTGCTCAGATTCAGGAGCCAAGAACTGAGCAAGGGGGAAAAAAAAAAAAAAAAAAAAAAAAAAGAGAGAACTATAACTTAAAATCTCAGCCCTCTGACTGAAGGCAACGCCACAGCAAAAGTCCTACCCCACAGCAAAGCCAAGTAAAGGTATGTGTGTGCCTGAGAGAGAGGAGACTGCTGTTCCATCTGGAACACAGGGTGCAGCTCCTGCTGGGTGAAACAGTGCTGGGATTCACTGGGAGAAAATGCTGACCTTGTGCATGATGGCACAGCACAGCCTGTCCCTGCTGCAGCGAGCTCAGCCGCTCTGTTTGGCAAACAGTGCCTGAGTGCACATCTAAGGGAGATGTCACTGTTCCCAACCCTCCGTGGGACCCGGCTGAGCATCCAGGGACAGACACAGTCACAGCAAAGCAGAGCTATGTGCACAGCATCCTCCTGCCCAAGGCTGGCCCTCCAGGCACTCCATTTATCACCCACAGCATGGATTGGTTTTACCACAAGACGTGAGCTAATAGGGTCAGTGCATCATACCAGCAGGGCTCCAGCACTCAGCCTCATGCCACAAACATCAGCAAAGCCTGCAGGCAGCATAAAGCCAGGCTTTGGGGACCCCTTCATGCTTCTAGATTCCAAGCACAACTTCCAGCCGCTTAAAAGGAAGTTGATGGAGTTCAGCCGCTGACCTCAGAGGCAAAAAAAATCACATCCACATTGCCCATTTCTGAGCCATACCTACATAGGAAACTCCTAAGTACACATTTCAGCTGTGTAAACTGAGGCACAGAGAGCCAAATGTTAGCGAGGCAAGTACAGATGGAATTAATTTGTGGTGGCATAACTCAGGATGGTTGATCTGAAGCTAAGAGAAGTGATTTCCCAAGGTGAGTAGGCATTAACTAGTTTTGGAAGTCTCTCCTGCATTTGAGCTTGCCTGCCAAACTGTCAGCTTTTACCATGCATACATAAGTAACTTAAAAGCAGGCTGGCATTTAGAAACACTTTGGTGCCATGGCAGTGCTCAAATTTCGGAGAGCTGGATTCCAGACTGCACCTTTCCTACACGAAACTCACAGTGACAGGGACAGTACACCACTGACAAACCTGGGAATTAGAACCAGCAGCCCCAGCTGTCATTCTGCTCTTACTTCAGTTGGACTTGGGCTGTCCTTCCCCTTTTGTAATAAAACACAGTAGGGAGGTAGACTCAGTCTGCATCACTCCACGGAGCTGCTCTACTCTTTGCTAACAGCTTTTTGCTTTGCTTCGGTGAAGAAACAAAAAGCAGACGAGAAAGACCAAACTCAAACCGTCCTGATAAAGCAGGCAGTTTATTCCTTTATTAAGCAATGTATCACGCATCAGCCTCAAGCACCCAGAAGAAAGCAGCATCTGAGAGCGAAGCGCTGACACCAGCATTAGCAGAGTGGGCTCCAAAACACTCACAGAGACTGGGGGGGGGGGGGGAAACAAAAAACAAAACCCAAAATAGGACTGGAAAATAAACACGAAAAATGTCAACATGCAGATTTTGCATCAGAGAGCACCAGCAACAACGGCATTACATCCAGAGTGGCAGCAGCTGAGAAAGCGCAGTCCAAATCCTTGCTTTAACATTGGCCATGACCTTAAATACACACTCTGCCTACAATGCTGGCATTAGCATAGCAGAGATGTTACTAACATTAATTCAAAGCCAACCTCTTAGCCCGTGGCTAAAATCATTCTTTCGCTTTCTCCTACACCCCACATTAACACGGCTCTCTGTGTGCAAGCATCTCCCAGCTGTAACCTGACTGATAGCTGCAGTCTGCATGCAGGAAGCTGCTGCTGCCCTTGTAACTGCTGGAACAGAAGACAGCACTGTGCTGCCCATATTTCCCCAGCAGATCAGCCATGGCAGCTCCCAGACACAAGCTCTATTTACCGAGAGTTATGTAAATGTTACAAAAGGCACTACAGGTCCCTGTGAAATACTGACATCATGTGAAAGGGCTGTGAGGATTAGAAAGAGTTGCTGTGTGCTGTGAGCAGGGTGAGCGCTCAAGAGCGCAGCCCAGGCGGATGCTGGTTCAGCGGAAGGGATGCAAGAGGCTGGAGCAGCACTGGGGCTTCAGGTGGACAACCTCCTGTTAAAATGCAGTGGGATGAAGCCTGCAGCAGGAGCTGTGAGTTTGCTGTTTCCTATCTAAAAGCAGCTCTGCTTTGCCTAGATCCCCGCTGCTTGTGCATCCTTATATCCATGTGCCCTACAGCCCAGGCCTGAACAGCTCACCGGTGTGCTGCATCTGCCTTGTGCTGCAGCACTGCACACACACCAGCCTGCCGGCCCCATTCCCACCACCTCCTGCAGCAGGAATTGCCTTTCCACCCCCCAGCTACATCCTCTGCCTCCACAGTTTCCACTCAAGACATCTCCCACCCAGCACTAAGGTTTAGCTATGGCACTAGATACCAACAGCTGCTGCTGCTTTTCAAGTTCACACTCCTCCATGGTAAGCCTGCACAAGATACACTAACTGAACCACTGTAACCTGCATCACTTTGGGCACCTGCACATTGTCCTCAGAAGAAAGCCAGGCTGGGGATCTAGAGAAATCATGTAACCCAGCCTTCTGTCTTTGTGAGCACACAGCCTAACACACAATGACCACAAGTAATTAAAGCTCATTGCACGCTATCTGCGAGCTCACAGACCTCATCTCCCTCCTCTTCTTACAGAGCCAGGGAAGGCTACGCTCCTGTCTGCCTCAGTCACATCCCAACACTCACAGGGATCTGGGCTGAAGGGTCCTCCCAAGTGTACTCTGAAACACTTCTCTATGATTGAAAAAGGAAAGTGATCTCACATTCTGTACACAGTGACAAATTTCCTACAGTAAAGGAGGGGAAAAAGAATAAAAAAAAAAAAAAAAAAAAAAAAAAAAAAAAATCAATCCTCAGCTTAAATTTTTTTTTTTTTCCAGCCACAGCAACTTATATTGCCATCCCTGTAACCAAACCCAGGGAAGCTTTTGTGCCTTTCTGGCCTTACTTCAATAGTATTTGCTCACATTTATCATTCTTGTCTGCCCCAAATCTATAGATCTTGGCGTTTCTGAATGATAGCACATTTGTTCTCTCCATAGGCTGTTTATTTTGCATTAATGCTCAGAAAAATGCAATCCGCAGACCTGCCTCACACTATTGCCCCACTTTATCACTAAGAAATGAATCGAAAGCTGGGGGCACGGTTACAGAGTCACATATATAGTGCACTGAAAATGGATATCATATTGTTCCTATCTCCAATGATCAAGTCATATTCACCCACAGAGTCTACAGATAAGTTCATTGTATTAATAATACAGGGTTATATATAGAAAACAAATTGACTTTATGCCTGAAGGGCCTTTTTTAAAGGCTTCTTTTTAATGTAAAATGCATTTTCTCAGTTATGTGGTAAGAGATTGGACTTGAAGAGACATGTCTGCAGCGCTAAAGGGTGTAAAATAATTGCCTGGCAACTCAGTTCCCAAAGGAAAACAAACGCCAACCGTCTCCCACAGTCTCCACTACAGAGCTGGGAAAGTCAGGTTTCCTCCAAGAGCCAAAGGAGCCATCCTGGAACGAGCACAGCCAGACCCACGCGCCT